TGACACGCAGCATTGTTCCACATATTTCTTCAATACCATTCACTAGCCATCTGCTTATATGTTCACAACAAACGCGAGTGACCTCCAAATACTGAATTGTGGTAAGTGTGCAAAACAGCTTGTAAGAGAGAATCTTGGAGAGGACCAAACAACCTCCAAGTGACCTCCAAATGCAGAGGTCTTCGAGAGGACGAAACTACCCTTGTAGAGCAATTTCCCTTGTTTAAGAGAAAATCTTGACACCACTATCACTATCTGCTTGTAATGGCGGTAAGATTGGGATCAGGTCGGGGTCTATGGTGGGTGGCATGCGAGGGAGAGCATCGGCTGCATTATTCTCCTAGTCGGGTCGGTATTGTATTTCAAAATCATAGCCGAGGAGCTTGAAGTTCTACCTCTGATACTCTGGGGGCTGCCTTCTAATCAAGTAAATGCTTGAGTGCCTGTTGGTCGAACCTGACCACGAATTTTTGACCAATAAGGTTGGGGCGCCAAACGCTGATCCACATCAATTCCCTTTTGTAAACCGATTTCAGTTGTGCTTCAACCTGCATTCCATAAATTCTCCATAGCATTGAACCTACATTCCAGCCCTACTGTGCCAATCATCACTCCGATGAACGTCATCTTCGGTCGCGGAACATTTTTCTTGCTGTAATTTCCCGGTTGGCACATAATTAAAGTAGTAATTAAAGGAGGTTTCTGGCTCAGTCATCCCTAAGATATTGAAGGAGGTTTCTGGGGCTATGGAAGAGAGTGGAAATGAATGGATGACAGAGAGGGGAAGAGAGAAAAATACATATAAGACAGAAATTATATAAAATTATTTATTATTGTCAATTATGCCATGTCTTTTTTTTATTATTAGTCAATTAACATTCAAATAACTTGAAGGTTAAAGATCGGGACAAAATTGTCACTTTTTTGAACTTAGGGACCAAATAGACACTTATCCTCAAATTTGGAGACAAAAAGTGTATTCTTCCCTAATATAAATGTTGGAAAAATAAGATATTTAAAAATTTCTTTAATTCAAAATTTTCAAAGAAAAAGTAACATACTTAATTCAAAATTTATTTGAAATGGATCTTCGCAATTGACGAAAGGGGAGCATTGCGTGACAAATGTTTTGGAACGAAGAAAAGGATAAAGAAAAAATCAACAACATTTCTTGTTCAAAAGCTACCTTACTAGAAAAGAAAGATGGTGTTAGAGTCCAAAAACTCAAACGAACATCTAGTCTAAAAATGGGATCCGATCAAAATCAATGACTAAAAGAGTCACAATCTTGAGGGGGTATGTTAAGGATCTCACATGGAAAAGAAAAGAGACCTTTCATAAGTTTATAATAGACAAAGGCTACTTCTCTCGTCGACAATTGGTTTTGAGAAGAAACCTATGAATATTGATACAAACTCTAAAGATCGAGGCCTCTGTTACTCTGCCTCATACCAGTGCCTCAAGTCAAGCACAACGCCCCTGTCTCGATCATCAGGTTTCCACTTTAACTTCCAGACTCTCTTCTTTTGTTTTCATATTTTATGAATTCTATGTTGGGATTATGGAGTCAAATCGATGTCGGAATGAATCATGAGGGACGGCCAGAACGTGTAGGTGCATGTTTTTAGTGGGTGCTGAGGCAATGTGTTGACAGAGAGGTAGAGACGAGATCAAGAGTTGTAGTGCATCGCCGACAACCAGTTCTCGTGAGGTATTTGGTGAGGTTTGGTGGCTTTTGTTGAGGACTATAGATTTGAGAGATATTATATGTTTATTGTATTTATTCCAAAATTATAATATAACTTGTTGGGAAAATATATATATATGCAGTAACAATAAAATATCTCTAGTTCTCAAGCAAGAGCAATCCAACAGGATCTAACTAGTATTTTTCCCCTTCCACAGTTATGA